ACCCTTCACACAGAAAACAAATTGCTCACCTAGAAACATGGACATCAGCTCCTTGTCCTGCAGGAGAATGGCTCCTTTAACAAGATACTCAAAGTAGGAATCCACTCCGGCCCCAATGCCAGCATCTTGGGCCACCCACTTGGCAGTTATCACATCAATGTGGTTACCAACCTGCAAGAAGTGAGGGGAGGAGAAAATAGGAAGTTAAAGTGGAAATAAAAATAATCTACTAAATTATAATTAAAAAAATCCCCACAACACAACCACACAAGAAAACCTTGACCTTTTTTCAGACTGGCCATTTCACAGATTTGCAATGTCCAACTCGCATTTGCTCCATTACAAGACACATTTATCAGTATCAGAGAAGTACAAACTGTAGAAAATGTAACTTTGATTTTATGCTTCCAATATAAATGTTGGACTGGCCAAAACAAAACACCATTATGCTACTGTAAAAACACACAATTTCAACATATGTCTGGTCCTAATTCACATCCTACAAAAGAGTAGGAGGATGAAGAGGTACGGATACAGAGGCAGAGGCCAAGGATATCAAAGGTATGAGATATGCCATTATTTAAATAGATCCTTCAAACCTGGGACTCTTCAGCCTAGAAAGTGATCCAGATGATAAAGGGTATAATACATAATCATGACTTCTTTAACAAATATAAAAAAACCCCAGCTATTCAGTTTCTTTCTTGAACAAGGATTAGTGGAAGAAACAAAAAAATACACAGATCCCAAAGCAAACAAAAGAAAACACTTTGTTATACAGCATATGAATAAATCTGTTCCACTTCACATATGCAACACCAGGAGCTCACAGAAAAAGCAGCTACAGAAATTAAATCAAGAAAGATTGACCAGGAGATAGTGAACACAGAAATAATGCTTCTATCTCTGGCTATTCCTGAAACACTAAAGCTGTAGAGGCTGGGTGTATCTTGTTGCACTTTCTGTGCTCTTATTCTCTTCCGTAGGCCGTTGCCACACCAGGCATCAGACAGACTTTTTATTTAATCTGTTACAGCTGCTGTTACAAAAACTGCAATATCCAGTAGAAGGCATTTGTCTCCCAACCACATCTGTTATGGAACAGAACAATAGCATAATGTTGGGTTGCACCACTAAAGCAGACATGTGGATGCCGCAGGTGTTCAGGAACAATGTCAAACACGCGACTTCAGCCCAGTTATTAGCACTGTGGTTATTTATCTAGTTTCAGCTCCTCTGTTTACGCTTTTCACGCTTAGAATTGCATCCACAAAACTCTACAAAAAGCAGGTCAGCAAATTCAAAGTCCATTTCTCACTCACCAGCCCAATATCTGAGCGGTTTTTCCACAGTGCCTTCAAAGCCTTCCTGGCAACATCCTCAAACACTGGGTCACCTGTAAGGTGGCTTAAAGTGGCAAATTCCACTATAAATGTACCGATCCCAGCAGTACAGGTAACTGGAGTCTCCCCTAGGTTTATTCCGTGCAGCAAGTTCACTGTTCCATATGGCATCCCAGTTGGCGTTTGGAAAGCTGAAACATAGTATTTTTGGTTCACATGAGTGTTCACTGTTACGTTTGACAAACTGTCAGGCAAACACGTGCCTCAAATTCCACTGCACACAGGCAAGAAGTGGGACTGGAGCAATTGCAGTAACTGCAAAGAATAAAATGAGAGGTAGTATGATCCTGAGAGGGACACAGAGGGTACCCCAAGCTACACACGGTCCTAAGAAGGTACTGCAGACCTCTTCTACCTTGCCCAGAGCAGTAGACTGCATCCCTACTTTTTTTTTTACAGCACAAGCAGGGTAGTCAAAACAGAACCACTCATGCTGGTCAGCAAAGTGCGAACACCGAGCTTGTGATTACTCAGTGGTAGCCCAGAGTGCACACCACACAAGCAAACAGTGCCATGCTATCAGGCCACATATTGTCGCAGCAGCCCACAAAGGGGTATATCAGGCTGCATCTTCTTGTCTTTAGAAGCTGCTGTTTCACAGCCTTTTATTATTTATATTAAATAATTTTTCCCCTCAGCAAGCAAACAACGAACTGATATGTTAAGCACATACAACACTTGGCATGCAGATATACAACTGGTGTCACGCATGTCACGTTTTCCTCACAACTCGCTTTGAGCTCAGGGAACACAGGACTGTTTTATGAGTTTACACATCAAGCAGTGCCACCTTCATCAAACACACCAGGCACCTTGACCTACAGCACAGTGACACAAGCCAGACAAGTCCTCACCTGGCAGGAGTTTGCGAGCTGCTTCCTCCGCCATCCTCAGGAGAGGTCCAGTGCATGGCCATCCCACTTCTACTTCAACGCCAGCCTTCTTCGATAGCAAGTGAGCGGACAGGAGACCACCCACCACTGGAAGGTGCACGGGAAGAATCCCATTAAAGAATGCGGTGAAGAATGAAATCTAATACCAGCTGTATTTATCACGATGCAGAGGCAGAGTTTACAGGGAAGAGAAGTGAGATGGCTCATCCTTAATAGCCTAATTCAGTATGCCACAAAAGAAGAGTGGTTTGTTTCTTCCTGCCTGTTTGCAGTGGATAGCAGATGTATTTCTTCCGTTATTTTAGAAGCATCAGATCCTACCTGCTCTACTATACCTGCACTGCCCTGAAGGCAATCAGAGAGCTAACAGTAAAATGAACTCTATGAGAGGAATTCTATTTCATTTCTTCCAGACAGCTTAATATTACGTTTGTATAAAGCAATATAGCGTACCTTCTTAAATTGCTTGGAGAAAAATGCCTAGGCCAGAGTCAAGAATTTCAGTGTGACTGACAGAGGCAGGGAGTTATTAGCCCTTTTCACAGGCTCGTCTACTGTCACATAACAAGCACAAACACAGAGAAATTACACTCCTGCAAAAATTGGCTCAGCAGTACTTGACAGGAGAAACAAAGAAAGCATAACTAACAGTTTTGTTCCCTGACAGTGTCTTTTAGTTGCATGGCACTGGAGCAGGCATTTAATTGGGTACAAGACTCCAAAGGCCTTTGAGATTTTCAAGAAAAAAAAGACAAGTTTCACTTTATGATGTTAAAGCAAGAAATCAATAATATCTATTCCAAAACAGTATGTAAAAAAGAGATCGTATACAATTTGTAATGTTTCAGTGGAAAAGATGTTTATTCCAAAGCTGAATACCTGGCACCAGAATATTGAAACTGCCACGTCTACTTCTGTTTGCATTGAGGCAGGAAGCAAAAGGGTGATGAACAAAAGACAAAAAGGAAGTGACATTTGTTTGGGATTTTTCTGTTTGTTTACATGTCCTGTTACACTGCATTACAAATTCACTCCGACCACGACCTTGTGGTAGCTCTGTGTACAGTTCAGAGACTTGTACAGGAAGGAAATCCAGCATAACCACGACAGAAAAAACCCACCTCACCTCGAATGTTAGTTTCAAAGACAGACGCATTGACATCAATATCAAAATCCACCCCTTCCTGCAGCACACTGACAACTCGCTGAAACTCGGACACATTTCCCAAGATCTGCAGAGGAAGCAGGACAACAGAGAACAAGGCTTAGAGTTCACCGGAAAACAAAGGTGCAGTTCAATGTTAGGGGCTAAGTCTAGTTTTGTTTTACTGTTTTGTGAAATCATTAATCACAAATAGTACCAACAAGGCGACTGACAGTTTCATCTAATTTCAAAACGTTTTCTTCACACACTTTAGGTCTTTACTCCAGAGTTAGAAGGTGCAGGGCAGCTCTGGCCACCTGTCTCCCAGGGCTGGAGCAAAGTGAAATGCAAAAGCTCCTTGGTCAATTAATAACCGACTTTTCGTCACTACGACATAAAAACCAGCTGTGAAGAAGGCGGCTGACAGTGGCCTTG